ACAAGTGGAGGGGAAAGCAGGGATCAAAGCGATCCTGCAACGCTTTGATCCCTTTCCCCCTACACTTGCTAAGCCCCACTTAGATTTCTTAATTTTGGATTAGAAAAGGGGGGGCATCTTATACATGGGGCATCTTATACATGGAAAAATACGGTACATAACATGAAGATGAGATGAACTAAGAAGTAACATACAGGTTCATTGACCCCCTACATTTCAACAGAAAGTTTTCTAACCCTGAGGCAAAATCCTATTAGTTCTAGGCCTAACCTTAATCAAATAAATGTAAATCCTGGCAGAGAGTTGCTACGTTTTAAGAAGCTCATGGGACTATCTCCTGCGATATCCAAAGTTGCATGACTCAGTGCACCATGGGGGTAGATTCTTAGTAATTTACCATCCAAACATCTTTCTGTTTTCTTTACCCTAATTTAAAAACATGATAGGCTTTTGGCCTTTATATTTCTATGGTCCTATACAAGCAGGTAGGTCTTCTCAGTTAACAAAGCACATATCTTAAAAGACCACACTGAGAAACTGAAATCCTTCTTTCTTCTTTTGAATTAGACATGAATGACTGCACCAAATGTCCAGAATATCAGTATCCAAACAAGGAGAGAAATGAGTGTCTACCAAAGGATCTAAACTTCCTGTCTTATAAGGAACCTTTGGGCATCAGTTTGATGATTCTGGCCCTCTCACTTTCTGTGGTCACGACCTTTGTGTTTGGAATTTTCATTAAGCACCGGAACACCCCCATCGTCAAAGCCAACAACCGGGACCTCAGTTACTCTCTGCTCACTTCCCTCCTACTCTGTTTTCTCTGTTCCTTGTTATTCATCGGCCAGCCCCATTTAATCACCTGCCTACTACGACAGACAGGTTTTGGTATCATCTTCTCGGTAGCTGTTTCTTCTGTCTTGGCCAAAACCCTCACAGTGGTTCTGGCTTTCATGGTCACTAAGCCAGACTCCAAAATTAGGAAATGGGTGGGGAAAAGGTTTGCGAGCACTGTTGTTCTCTGCTGTTCATTTATCCAAGCTGCCATTTGCACGGTGTGGCTATGTGTCAGTCCTCCATTCCCAGAGTGGAACATGAACTTGTTGCCGGAAGAAATTGTAGTGGAATGCAATGAAGGATCTGCCAACATGTTCTATTTCCTTCTTGTTTACCTGGGATTCCTGGCTCTTGTCAGCTTCCTTGTGGCTTTCCTTGCACGGAAGCTTCCAGATACCTTTAATGAAGCCAAATTTATCACTTTCAGCATGTTGGTGTTTTGTAGTGTTTGGGTGTCCTTTGTTCCCACATATTTGAGCACCAAAGGGAAATATATGGCGGCTGTGGAGATCTTCTCCATCCTGGCTTCTAGTACTGGAATACTGGGGTGTATCTTTTTCCCTAAATGTTACATAATCATTTTGAGACCCAAATTGAATAGTAAGGAGCAGCTAAAAAGAAAATAATTTTTAAAAAAAAAATGTAAGTAGAATTAGGCAGATTTGCCTGTAATGGATACCACTTTAATGTGTATTTGTAGAACAAATATTTCATCTTTGTTGCTATTCTACACTTATTATAATGCTTGCCTTGACTTTAAAATGGCATTTTCATATCAATTGCTTTCTCTCTATCTTTAAAACCAATCCATTCTCTTTTCCTGTCACTGAGTAATTCCTGAAAAAGAAAAAAAAAACAAATCAGGCTCTTGTAATATCAGAACTAGAGACAGGACAGAGCAAAGCAGAGCAAATGGCAGAGCTGAGAGAACCATCTTGATATTTCAAAGTTTTAGGGCTAAACCTGGCAGGTTTCGATGGACTCTGAAAGTTCTAGCAACCCACAGGCTGTATCTTCATGGGTCTGTTGTGAATTTAAAGACATGAACCCAAAAATAGTTCCTCAGGCTCAAAATATTTGGATTATCTGAAAATGAAACATCAACAAGAGAAGTGAAATATCAGATAATCCTGGAATTGCATTCAAAAAATGGGAATATATAGTTTCCCTATACTGAATCAAAGCACTGGCCAACAGAATTTCTTTACTGTCTTCTCATCTCTACATAAAAAAATAACATTATAAGAATCACCAAGAAGAACCACAGACTTCTTTTCCTCAATGGCCAAATGGGTGTCTCCAGGAAGAGCTTTCTCCCACCTTCTTTCACCAAAGAATGGTATTCAAAGGCATAATCTTCTAATTCTGGAAATATTAGATATCACTGTTAGTACCTATCATAGTAGATATCACAGTTAATACTATGACTATTTGCAACCACATAGCAACAGTGCAATCTGGCTACCAAAAAATGGAAAATGCTATTTTA